AAAAGCTGCAAGTGGTGCTGTGGCTCAAGTGGTAGAGCGCTAGCCTTGAGCTGAGGGACAGTGCCCAGGCCCAGAGTTCAGGCCCTACGACCGGACCCCCCCCAAAAAAAAAGGAAAAAAAAAAGAAAATGTGACATATAAAGTCCATTTACGGCCAAAAAAACCCCCTAGAAAGCAGACTCCACTAGCTGACAAACTTATCTTGATTACAGATAAACACCCCTACCAAGTGACTTAAAGGAGGGGGAGGCGGTTAGGAAATCTTTGCTTACTTTTGAGAGCCGGGAGTAGGTTATTCTAGTATCATGTATGCCTCATGTGCTGTAGGTCCTTTTCTTGTAGAATAGGGGAAAAGCAGGGCATTATTGACACCAAGGCCATTAGGGAAGGAAGAAATAAGGTATACATATTTAGTTAACTGTAGATTTAATAAGCTAGTAAGTTGTCTGGATGAGAATAATGAATTTTTAAATTGTGTTTACTATCTAAAACATTAGCAGTGAACATAAATTCAACCTGTTTTGGCAACTCTACTTTCCCTCCTCTAATGAACTAAGACAACAGGTTTTTTTCTGTAATTGACATTTGGCTTTTGTGTGTGCTGGTTCTGGGGCTTGAACTCCTGAGTTGAAGGTGCTGTGTCTGAGCTTTTCTGCTCAAGGCTAATGCTTTACTGCTAGGGACCACAGCTCCATTTCTGGCTTTTTGGTGGTTCAGTGGGGTAAGTTTTTCATGGCTTTCTGTGCCTGGGCTGGCTTTGATCTGTGAATCTCAGATCTGTCTCCTGAGTAATTAAGATTACGTGCGTGAGCCACTGACGCCCAGCAACTTGTTTTTGTAGTCTTAACACTGCACAACTGAGTCAGTCACTATGAGTCCACTAATTTACTACCCAGGGACACTGACAGAGGGGAAATGGAGAATTCACACGCAACAGCAATTTCTTCAGTGTCAAGTTTTACTGAGTACCTCCTAATGCTAACTCAGAGGTGAATAGCAGTCACAAGGCCTGCTCTAAGGTTTAAGGAATGTAAGTCGAGTTCAGGCCCTCTTTGAATTCTACTTCATGCCTCAGATCCTGTCTGGACATTCCATTCCACTGACTGGGATGCTTTTCCTGTTTTTGAGGTAGGGTCCTGCTATGCTACGCAGTGAAGGGCAGGGCAGCCTCAAACCCTGACCCTTGCTGTCACAAGCCTTCAAAGTGCTGAGATTTTACAAGAGTATGCTACCATGCCTGGCTTTGACAGCAACGCTTTCCAGAAAGTATGGCATAACAAATACAACACAAATGAAAGCATTAGTGAAAATGTTCCTCTTGGTCATGGCACAAGACACGCATGAAACAAAACATTATGCTCTTTTCAGTTTGTAAAATACACGATCAAACCTTCCCTCGTGGTGAGAGACTGGCTCCCTGAGATTGGGACAGTGACATTGTACTGACTCAAGGATCTTACCTCAGGAGAAGAGCCCTGATTCAGGTGTCCAGAACTCGTAAAATGACCTGTTTTCCAACACACTGTCCACTGTCCACATTCGCCAAGTCTTCTGCTTTGTTGACACATCTGCTGTTGACTGGTTAGCTAGAATTTAGTGGGCGGAGCCTTTCCCCTGCCATCTGCCCAGGTGTCAAACCTTTCCCAAGGCTCTGCTGCCCCCTGCTGGGCTACGGAGAGACTTAGCCAGGAGAGGCCCAAGCAACTTGTTTATATGGGGAATAAGAGACAATGCGTAAATACCCCCGAATTCTAAACAAATCGAAGTTCCAACAACCTCTTTAGCGAGTAAACATTTACTATGAATAATAACAATGGTACAAGTGAACACTCAGTCATGGTGAGCCCTAGTGCGACTCTTCCACAGTTTCCCCAGGCAGCTCTGCATCAGCAGGAGTGCCGGGTGGGAGGCGGGGCTGAATGGAGCCTGTCCTTGGGGATTAGTGAGTGCACCAGTATCCGACTGCACCTGGGGTACCCCCACTCTCTCCATGGATGCCGTTGTGCCTGAGCAGGAGTCACAGCAGGTGCATGCCGGGTCCTCTGCAAACCATCTCATCTCAAGTTGTAGGAAGCGGCTTCTGCCGTGGCTCAGCCCCAGGCCTGAGACTTGCAATAGTGCAGAACCAGTTTACCGTCACTGCCGAAACACTGAGAGGAGAAACATCATCATATAAAGAAATGTTCTGGGCCTGGAAGGTGGCTCAGTGGTAGAGCGCTTGCCTTGCATGCCTGAGCCCCTGGGTTCAATTCCTCAGCACCACATAAGCAGAAAAGGCCGGAAGTGGCGCTGTGGCTCAAGTGGTAGAGCTCTAGCCTTGAGCTGAAGAGCTGAGGGACAGCGCCCAGGCCCAGAGTTCAGGCCCCACGACTGACCAAAACGAAAACAAAAAAGGGAAAAAGTTCTCCACACCACGGACACCCATGGATTTATGGCCATTTCTTGAAAATGTGCCTGTTTCTTTTCATTTCCATTTTGGATTATGTCTCAGCAGTGGTGCCGAGGAGCTGCGGTTTATGAATACTTGCATCCTGACTGGTGCCAGCCCTTTCAACTTCTTACCCCATCACACGGCTGTTTCTATGCCACACTTACCAATAACTTAAGTGCTGATGTTCACCAGACTGACTTGGTATGAGCGGCTGGTGCTGATGGCAATGTAGGTCACTGTGTGTATACACTAGTGACTCCTGCCGTCAAAGAACAAGGTGGAACCAAGTTTTCTGAATGTAGTTCCACTCAATTTCGTGGAGGCAGTCTGCATTACAGACAGGACCAATGCAGACAAAATCAGAGGCAAAGGACACTCTGAGCCCCTGGAGTCTCACTCTGGCTTTTCAATCAGGACAGAATTTACTTCCCACAATGTTCAGGATGTTAGGGACGCAGCAGCGTGCAAGGGCAGTTGTTCAAGGACTCCTGACTGCACGCCAGCCCCCACACGGCTGCTCACCTCATACAGGGTTCCAACTTCCTGGTCTGGGGAAGGAGCGAAGGACTGGTTCACATAGATAAACTGCACGGCAGAGAAAGACAAAACCAATCAAGTGTCATGTTCTGTGATTTCAAACTATTTTCCTTCATTTCCACCCCACCAACTATGAAGTTTGGTGAAGATCACATCTTCCCTCCAAAGGAATACAAGTAACACAAGTTCTTACAACTGGCTTACAATATGAAATCGAGATCTCCACACCTCCGCCTCATGAGTAGCTAGGACTAGAGGTATAAGACACTGGCACCTGCTGACTACTTCCGTTTGCATTTACCGTCAGTCTGGTTTTTGAGAGCCACTTACCAACTCTTGGATGAGTTTCAGTTTCTCGCTCCTCACTCACAAAAAGGATTTCTAACATATCCCACCTAACAGATGGGTTCATTTTCTGTCCTCACTCTGTGTGTGCACGCAGCAGGTACGTCTCCCGGCATGGGCACACATCCCAACTGCGCCCTCATGTGCCAGCTGTGGTAATGCTGTTCAAGCCTGTGACCCGCCCGCTGGTGAAGCTGCCTGTCAGACAGCATTGGTACAGCACTCAACAGACACCGAAGCCATCGTGGCGTTGAGCCAGCAAGGGACTTGAACAGATGCTGGCCTCAAAATTATACACCACATCCACGTTAGTTTTGCTAAGTTTACTTTGACAATCATCCAACAACAGAAACGCCCAAGGCGCTTCTTAGACCACGCTCCCACTGTGAAGTGATAGGACTACGTGGCCGCTCCAGCTCCGGAAGCCAAATGCCCTAGGACAGACCATGGCATTCAGAATCTTAACCCTCAAGGCCGGAGCTGCCTCGGGAGCTGTTTATTCCAACGCTGAGTGTGAGGCGCACAAGCGTGTCTCTTGAATGAACTGCCCATCTTGGGACAAATGGGACAAAAGCAATGCTGGGATGGCAGTGAGTCACAGCGCTGGTGCTGGTGTGTGTGTGTGTGTGTAGCTTTCCACCTGTGATTCTGCACTGCTATTCCCTGTCCCCGGGAACCGCTGTGAAGCCGCAGCGCAGCCCCCGCTGTGCAGGGCTCCCACTAGGCACTGGTGTTTCTGTGCTAGTCCCTGTCTCCCAGAAGCACTGTGACCCCGCGCAGCAAGGCTGTCACCCTGGCTTCCTACCAACTGCTCCGAGGCCACCAGTTTAAGGAACTTTTTGATGAAGTCAATGAGGCCCTGGATGGTCCGGGTTCGCTCTACGGCCCACTTCTTGGTTTTCATTATAGGGGTGTCGCCCACAGCCTTCAGCAGGATGTCAACTGTAAAAGAAAAGAAACTGACAATCACCCTGGAATACTTAATGATGATACCATAGGAAACTCAGGTCTTTATGCATATTTGGTGGGTTATGTTTCTGAAACTAGTCAAGAGACCATTTCTGGTGTTTCATTGGAGGTGAGAGTCTCATGGAATTTCCTGCCCAGGCTGGCTTTGAACCATGATCCTCAGATCTCAGCCTCCTGAGTAGCTAGGATTAAAGGCGTGAGCTGTAATCTGTTAACACTGCCTTGAAGCCAGTTTTCTATCATATAAGCCACAGCGCCACTTCCGGCTTTTTTCTTTTTGCTTATGTGGTGCTGAGGAATCGAACCCAGGGCCTCAGGCATGCAAGGCAAGCGCTCTAC